TCCGACTCCGACTCGGACAACGATGTCGAGGTCCAGAAAGCCCGCCGCCGCTGGGCCGCCCGCGGTGCACCTGCTTCCGATACGGCCACCACGGAAAAGAAGAAGAAAAAGAAGAAGCTGCTTCCACAAGAATCCATCGACAAAGTTTGGGAGCGCTTCTCCCAAAAACGCTTCAGCAAAGCCATGACCGTCCTGCCCTTTGCCCCCGTTGCGCCCTCGCCGCTCTCTGAACGCGCCAACGAACTGCTGAGCGTCGGCTACGAGCGCGCCGCCGAGGAGTGCCGCCGCAAAGTCAAAAAGATCATCCAGGAGTGCCGCCGCGTCAACATGCGCTACCGTGATCCGGGCTGGGACATTGACTGGGACCTCAAGATGGCCAAGGGCCACTGCCTCAACAGCCTCGGCAACACTAGCTTCGACGTATCACTCAAAAACATGTTGAGCATCGGCGCCACGGTGCCCAAGGCCGTCAAGCGCGTGCATGAGATCTTTGAGAAGCCGACCTTTATGTCGACCGTAAGCGGCAGCGACGTCAAGCAGGGCGGCCTGGGCGACTGCTGGTTTATTTCGTGTGTCAGCGGCCTGGCCAATGTGCCTGGCGGTCTGCAGCGCACCTGTGTGGCCTACGATACAAGTAAGACCCACACCGACCCCCACGGCGCACTTCCGTGTAGTTGTTCTCCTGATCTTCTCGCACCGCTCACCGCTCACCGCTCGCCGTTTACCGTTTACCGTTCACCGTTCATTCAATCTTGATCGCTAACAATAATTGCAGAAATCGGTATTTATGGATTCGTTTTCTATCGAGGTGCGTTGTCCCCATAAATTGTCTTATCATCCTACTTCTCCACTTCTTCACTTACACTAACATTTGTGTCTTAGACGGCGAGTGGATTTACTCCATCATCGACGACAAACTCTACCTCACCTCTCCCTCGTGGGACTCCCCCAGCTTTCAGCGCGACCTGCTCCAACAAATCGACCAGGACGACATTGAGCGCGTCTACCGCAAAACCTACCAGACCGGCTCCAAGGCCCTCTTCTTTGCCCAGAACAAGGACCAGAACGAGACATGGCTGCCCCTCATGGAAAAGGCCTATGCCAAGGCCCACGGCGACTACGACAGTCTGACGGGCGGCTGGATCGGCGAGGGTCTTGAGGATTTGACGGGTGGCGTCACCACGGAGCTTCTCATGTCTGATATTTTTGACACGGACAGCTTCTGGGACAACGAGTTGAGCCGTGTAAACGAGGAGTTCTTGTTTGGCTGCACCACGGGCCTGCTCGACGGCGGTTACGGTAACCGCGACGGCATCACCGAGGGCCACGCCTACAACATTATGGAGGCCAAGACTCTCAAGAATGGCACCCGTCTTTTGAAGCTGCGCAACCCCTGGGGTAAAGTAAAGGCCGGCACCTGGGAGGGCGCCTGGTCTGACGGTTCCAAGGAGTGGACCACCGAGGCCAAGGAGGAAGTCGGCCACAACTTTGGCAGCGACTCCACATTCTGGATTTCCTATGAGGACTTTATGCTCAAGTTCCAGAATGTCGACCGCACGCGCCTCTTCCGCGACCCAGACTGGCTCTGCTGCCAGCGCTGGATCGGCGTCGACGTGCCCTGGAAGACGAGCTACAACGAAAAGTTCCACATCAAGCTCACCAAGGAGTCGCCCCTCGTCTTGGTCCTCTCCCAGCTCGACTCCCGCTACTTCCACGGCCTCGACGGCCAGTACTACTTCCGACTCCACTTCCGCCTCCACGAGCAGGACCGCCCCGGTGCCGAAGACTACATCGTCCGCTCCCACGGCAATTACCTGATGGATCGTTCTGTGAGTGTCGAACTCCCGTGCATAGAACCCGGCAACTATTCTGTATTTTTGTCGGTGGTTGCCGAGCGCGAGTCCAGGACCCTGTCGGTCGAAGACGTCGTCAAGAACGAGCTTAAGAAACGCGTCGAAAACGAAAAGCTCGCTCAGGTCGGCCAGGCGTACGACCTCGCCCACAGCAAAGCCGCCGCCCACCTCGAAGAACTGGCCAAGCTGCGCAAGAAGTCTGACCAGGTCAAGGCCTCGGACGAGCGCAAGCGCGAGCGCCGCAAGGACTGGGCCAAGCGCCACCTGCTCAAGGACATTCAGAAGCGCCAGCAAAAGAAGAATGACGAAAAGGCCAAGAAACGCGCGGCGGAGAAGGAAGAGGAGCGCAAGAAGAAGGATGCGGAGAAAGCTGCCGAGAAAGCGGCGGAGAAGGCTGCCGAGAAGGCTGCCGAACAAAAGAAGAAAGACAAGGCTGCGGCCGACGAAAAGAAAAAGGCCGAAGAAGCCAAGTCCAAGGACAAAGAGGTCCAGACCGAGGTCAAGGACAAGAAGGACGCCGAGGCGGCTACCGAGACCGTGACGAAGGAGGGCAAGGACATGGCTGCGAAGAAGGATGCCGAAACAACGACTGAGCCTGCCGCTGAGGCCACAAAGGAAGTCACCACAGAGTCCACAGAGACCGCCGTGCAGGCTGAACTTGCTGCGTCCGCTGCTTCCGTTACATCAGCGTCGAACACGGCTGCCACCAACCAGGCCGCCGCTGATGAGGTCATCTCCGTGTCCACGTCCGGTGCCAGCACTCCGCAAAAGACGCCTCTCGACACGCCCAAGAGCGACATCATCACTGAGCCGATGCTTGATGCTGCGGGTGGTGAGCTAGTTCTTGTGCCCCCCGTGACGGAGGCGACGTCGGCCCAGACGAATAATGACGGGGCTGGCGTCAAGACCGATGAAAATTCAAAAGACATGCCCGCCGATACGCCCGCCGGGAAGTCGGACGAAAAGTGCAAGGCCAAATCTGACATGAAAGACGAGGCTATACCAGAGGAGAAATCACAGACGACGGCTGTAAAGTCAGATGAGAAATTAGAAGGGAAGACTGACAAAATTGCGGGTGACAAGGCCGATTCCAAGCCCGAAGAAAAGCCGGCGAAGAAGGGCAAGGACAACGACGGCAAGAAGAAGGCAGGAAAGGGCAAGGGGAAGAAGGCCGACAAGAGCGGAGACGAGTCTTCCGCGTCTAAATCGTCCTCTTCCGGTTCAGAAGGCTCATCCTCTGGATCCGCTTCAGGTTCCGCTTCTGATGTCAAGAAGCCCAAGGCGCTCAGAAAGGCCTCCCCCCCGCCACCTCCGCCACCACATCCAGCTGTCATAGACGACTCGTCCGATAGTCCTCTCGAAGACTGGGAGGAGTGGTACTCAAGCGACGACCTGTCCACCAAGGCCTCTCGAGCCGCGGCTGCTGCCGCCGCCACTACAACCACCACTGCCGTCGCCAAGGATGACGAGTCCTCCGACGACGAAAAGGACCCGGCGCCGTGGAACGCCATCTGCATCGTGGGCATTCGCGTCTACTCCAAGGACGAGAACCTCGAGCTGCGGGTCGTTATGGAGGGCGGCGACCTGGCCGAGGGCGGCATGGGCGAGCGCGGCGAGCAAGACCTGGACAATGCGCAAGCCAATGCGGGCGGGCAGCGCGTGCGCAAGGATGAGCTGACGTCGTATGAGACAGAGCGAGACGAAAAGGCCAGCAACAAGGACAAGAAGAAGAACAAGGAGTCCAAGGGCAACGAGACAGACGCCACCGAAAAGGCGGTCGATAAGGCCACTGACAAGTCCGACACGACGGTGGACAAAGCGTCTACCGAGAAGGAGGCTGCCATGGACAGCAAGCCCGACGAGACAACTACCGCCCAGTCGGACGAGAAGACGGCGGACGATACGCCCGCCGGCGGTGACACTACCATGCCGGCTACGGACGGCGAGAAGCAGAATGAGGCTACACCCGCCCCCGTTGTCGAAGAAGGCTTTGGCCTTGCCCAGTACAACACCATTGTGCAAAAAGACGACGAGGAGTTCAAGGAGGCTTCGGCCCCGGTCGGTCAGCACCAAGCCTGACGCGCTGCTACCCACTGCCACTGCCACCATGACTGTCGACTGTCGACGACACCATGATGTGGGGTTAACTGGCATTTCAAGGCTGCGTTTATGATGCGTGATGCTCGCTGTGAACGAGCTGCACACCACGACATGTTCAATAGCATGTTATTTATGTCTTCACGCACCAATAGAGAGCGTGTATTCAGCTACATTTTATGTTTTCTATTCTTTTTGGTTTACATTTCTGGATCTCAGAGCCAGCGAACATCATCGCTCACTTCTTTATTGTTTTGAAAAAAAATTGGTACTTTTGGATACCTTCATTTTTTGTCTACTAGCCTCTACTCCATCTTCATTCCGTCTATTTCGTAGAGACTCCCCTTATTGCGCACGAAATAAATTAATTTGAGCAAACTTTGAAAAAGAAACGCCCGAGATTGTCCAATTACCCATTTAGCAGATCAGCAAGAAAAGCTTAGTTGGAAGCGAGGTTGAGGGTTTGCCGAGCCGATGACGGAATTCTAGAACGGCAAATCCTGCCCTCGCAAGCTTTTTATTTCTCCGCTTCTCCGCCTCTCCCGTTCCTCTTGTGTTAATGACGAGTCCAAATACCAACAATTTGGTTGGCCGCCGATGATGGTCTATATATTGGCCGTAGTCGCCCTCAAGATTGTTCATTCATCTCCCCTTCATCTAAGACATCTCAGCCGAGAGTCAACAAGGGCTGTCAAGTAGAAAACGGTAGAAGACGATGACGACGGGGGAGCCCAAATATAGTGTTGCATATATGTCTGCGAGCGGCAGATGCAACGAGATTTGTTCCTCGCCTACACTGTCTCTGGTTTCCCACGCCGAACCCACCTGGGTTGCGTATCTTGTCCTGCGAGGAACGAGGAGCCGAGTGGTCTATTTAAAGATCTGCCTTTAATTTTGACGAGGCCGAGGTGACAGCTGTTCAACAGACGCCTCTTAATACCGGCTCTTGGCACCTTCAGGAGCTTGTCAGTTTTGGTTCAGTGCATCGCTCATCCCGACAGAGGATTTTTCCCATCCGGTCCAAACTCGTCCTCTCGCCCTCGTTGAAAAATGCATCTTCCGCTCGTCTTGGCTGTCGTCGGTGCCGCCGCATCCGCGTCGGCCACGCTCAAGATTACCAGCGCACTGAGCGTGATTGAATACACACCCGAGCTCTGGGCGATCCGGCAGGCCTCGTCAGCCTCGTCCGGGGGCGCGTCGTCGGTTGGGACCATCACCAACGGCGGTGTGGCCAACATTGTGTCGGACACCTCCATCGACCTCGCCGCCAACGCCGAGACCCAGGCCCTGCGCCAGTTTGCCAGCCACAAGAAGCTGCGCATCATCTACACCGTGGCCGAAGTGGCCTACCGCCTGGTGGCGCGGTCTGCGTCCGCCACGACTGTTGCGGACCTCAAAGGGAAACGCATCGGCACCATTCCGGGCACGTCGGCCGCGTACTTTGTCGAGCGGCTGCTGCAGGACGTGGGGGGGCTCGGCCCCAGCGACTACACCGTGGTCAACGGCGGCATTTGCATGGCGGCCCCGTGTGGGGCGGGCACGCTGCCGTATATGCTGGCCCACGGCACCATTGACGCCGCGGGCATGTGGGAGCCGACGATGCAGCTGGTGCTGGACGCGCTCTCGACGGCCGCGGTGCCGCACACCGTGTTCCAGAACGGGTCTGTGTACAGCGAGGTGTTCAATCTGCACAGCACGTCGGACAAACTGGCGGATCCTGCGAAGCGCAAAGAAATTGTGGCGTTCCTGAAGCTGCTGGACAAGGCGGAGGCGCAGTTTGGCGCCGCTGGCGGCCCATCGGACGCGATTGTGTCGCTGGTCGCGTCGTCGGTGTTGGGCCTGGCGGGGAACACGTCCCTGGTCAGGGCGGTCTGGCCGGTGCACACGTGGACGGGCGACCTGCATGCAGACAAGGTGCTGGATGTTCTGGTAAAGGAGGACGCGTGGGTGGCACGGATCGACCGGCGGACCGCGATGAGCCGCGACACATTGTCGACGCTGATCGATGCGAGCGTCTTGGCTGAGGCGAGACAGGGGTAAAATACGTTGTGATGGGCTATTGCTTCCCAGTAAAAAGGTGTTTTCAAAACATCTCGAAAAATTACATCCAATGCATTACATCCTGAGTCTTTCGCTTTTGTTTCTGGGGGAGACGGTTGTTGAAAGGCGCCCAGCGCATCAAAAACAAAAATTAAACAAAATAAGACGTAAAAAAACAAAACCACATTTCCTGACGTCGCGTGCTCGTCACGGCGTCCAAAAATAAAACAAAACGCAGACGTTACAAAACTCAAACAAAAGAGAAAGAACGTGTCCAAAAATGAAGAACGTTTTGCAGAGCCCATGTCCCGTCTGCAGACTACACGATTACTTCCTCGTATGCCACATCCGGAAGTTGCTGCGTGACGAGCCACCATTGATCACAAGGCCGTCCTTGCGCACATCCAGTGTCGCCATGCTCCGACAGACGGCCGAATAGTCGCCAAAGAAGCGGTGCACGCGCACATCGTTGTTGGTCTCGCCCTCGTCGTCGGTCTTTTGTGTCAGGCCGTGGCCCAGGGTGACCACCCAGACGCCTTCAATGTTGACGGCGTGCGAATCGGCGTCCTCGTCGGGCTGGAGGAGCACTGAGTAGATGGAGCCCGTGTACCGCACCGTCGTCTTCTTGTTGGCCACGGGGTCTCGGCAGGGGAACACCCACTTGGTGCCGTTGTGGGAGACGGGGTGCCATGCCGTAATCAAAAGACGGCCAATCGTGACCATGGGGATGCTGCTGACGGGCGTCTTCATCACGGCGGCAACGGTCCGGGGTCCGCGCGGCGTCTGGACACTCATGCCAGCACGAAGCTTGTTGACGCGGATGTACCGGCCGTCAACCAAGGTCACACGGCAGAAACTAGCAAAGCACGGGCCCCTAGAGTTGCGGTAGCGACCCATGCTGACCGAGGAGTAGCTCGGAGGTGCGCCGCCCGGTACATTGGACCGTTGCGTCTTGCTGGGCTCGGGAGGCGGGATGGTGTCAAAGGCCGTGTCCAATGCGTCGCGGCAGGCAATAAAAAGCGGACTGGATGACGCGTAGAGAAGGGGGCCCGGGTCCTTGAACGAGTTGCATTGCTGAGCGGCGTGGGCGCCCTGCAGACTCGGCAAGTAATGCCGGCCCCAGCGGTTGTAGTAGACGAATTGAGACAGAGCCATGCGCACCTGGCCGTTGACGTCAGCCATCAGTGCAGCACAAGCGGGGTCCGCAGCGTGCGCCGTCTCGCCTGCGGGAAGAGACTCTATGAATGCATCGAGCTGTGCGGTTTCAACGATTTTTGCATATGGTGAGTTGATGTGCTCGTCCATCTCGTTCAATGGGCTGAGGGACGAAAGGAATGCGCAAAGCATGGACCGCGAGATGTGGAAAGCAGCATCATGTGGCGACAGCGGGCTGTCCACAATTTCAAAGTCGGAATCGTCCACTTTTTCGTCGGTGTACGGACCATCTGCCAGGTTGCACGATGTCGACGCCCTGTACAGGTCTGTGCTCATTTTTCTGTATTCGAGTTCGGCGTCGATGGGCACTTGGTCGCCAGCATCCGGGCTAAGCGTGTAGCGAAGATAGACATCGCGCGACTGGCCGTATTGGATGTTGCCAACGTCAATGGTGAGCTGCTGTTTCCGTTCCAAAACCGTGGGCTTATGTAAACCGACGGTTTCACCCTGTGTCTGTTCAATCGTCACAGACTGAGGGTACGTCAGGCGCAGGACGGCATCATTTGCGTAGGTCGACTGCATGTTGGCCACGGCATGGACAAACACGGTGCCCTACACACGGTTAGTATCACAATGCAAACACATTTTGGAATCAAATGCCTAGACTCTGAGAGCTTACAATCATGCCGGCGTCGGGGATAAAGGCATAGTTGCCGCCAGTAAACTCGGAAATGGACTTGAGCAGACCAGAGCGCAGGCTGTAGCCGAAGCCAAAGGTATGGATGGGCGCCGGGATGCGGCCAAGGGTGCGCATCTTGGGAATGTAGCCCTGCGGAGGGGACATGAAGTTGGGCAAACCATCGGTCAGGACCATAATAGCAGGCACGCGGCCGGACTTGGTCTTTCCGCCATGAAAGAGGTTGATGCCGGACACAATGCCCTGCCACAGGTTGGTTGCGTTCTCGGGACCCATAGACCTGATCTTGGCATGGGTCTTGTCCTTGTTTTCTTTTGTCATTTGTGTCAGCTCCTGGAGCACTTTGACGCCCGTGGCAAACGTGACAATGCCGAGCCGGTCGCCCTCGTCCAGGGTCTCAAGAATGGTGCGGGAGGCGTGCTTGACCAAGTCGAGCACCGACAGGCCGTTGCGCTCCGGCGTCTCGCCTTCCACCGTGGGTACCGGAGCGTCTTCGCCCATACTGCCGGACACGTCGATGACTAGGACAATGTCACATGGTACATGACGGGGAGGACGGGCTGTCCCAGCGTCGTCCGGTGCTGACGATGCGCCAACAGCAGCAAAATCTGCAGGCTGATTTGGTGGCGTCACCTTGATGAGCATTCCGTCCCCTGTGGGCAGACGGTGAATGGCTACCGAGAGCGGCGAGTCGCCCGCCTTGGGCCGCAGCGGCAGAGTCTGTTCAGTGGCTTCTCCTTGTTCCTCTGCGGCCGCGTCCTTGTGAGACGACAGCAATGGGATATGAACCTGGCAAAGAATTGTGTTAGTTAATTTGATATTGCAAGAGGAGCGTTGGGATGTTGAAAAGTTATACCATTTTGAATTGCAAAGCAGGGAAATGAAAAGGGGTATGTGATAAAAAGCCGTGTGCTTGTGAAGGAAAGAGCGAATGGCAGGCGAACAAAACCTGACGGAAAAAGAGGCGAAGAAAAGGGAAAGAGCGAAGGGCTTCTAGGAGACGGAGGGTGTGCCTCTTTTCAAAGAAGACGAGACCAAGAGAGGGAAGGAACGAGGGGTAACACTGTATGATGGGGGAGTGCTTCGTATCGTAAGAATGGGCTTCTCCCCGTTATGATACAATCATGCAAGATGTCGTTATGGAGATGCCACGAGGAGAAATAGAGCTGCAGACCGTCGGGGCTACCAAAGAAAAGGGCAAAAAGGCCAAGGCGCCACGCAAGGCCAATACAATCTAGCCCCGGAGACTGGGCGTCTGTTGGTGCAGTCTGGAACTGGCAAGGCGGTTGTCAAGGCTGATGAGGTTGAAGAGGCTGACAAAAGTAGTGACAGTTGTAGGTTTCGTATTTTATATCGTGTTCTTTGGTCCAGCGGGCTCAAGATAAGGTAGACTCAGGAGACGATCGTGTGAGAGATGTACAGAGTATGAGAAGAGAAGACGATGAAGGGGAAGGGGCAGAAGATAAAGAAAGGGTGTGTCGCTGCTTGTGATACAAGCATAGGATGCAGTTGCCCGTTTCATCGGTGTCCTTCCTATTTTGAGGCGCCTCTCTTCCTCATTTTGAGTATCTGTGGCAGAGTTTGAAGAAGAAGCGATGCGAGGCCAACGAGGCCTCAAAAAAAAAAAGATCAGGAGGTTTAACAGTTCAATAGAAAAGCGATAGGTACGTCGAAGCAGGGGGCACAGTTAGAGAGGGGTACGGAGTGCAGTATGCGCCTATTCCGGCAGTCGCTTTCTTCGTTACCCGCTTACTATGAAATTGCTAATTTTGGTGATATTCTCTCGTGCATGCATTTGTTAGCGTGATGCTACTGTATGGCAGATGTCGTAACGTTCTCGGACTTGTGATCCATCCGTAACATGTACATCACTCTCCGTACACGTCGGGATCGTAGATACCATGTAGGCGAATGAGCCTTGCAGAATGCCTCAATGCGGCGAACCAATGAGGATCTGGCAGGTGCCCAGACAAAGTGGAAGGGAGGCGCACGCCAATGAGAACGCCCCGCTGACAGGGATGGGGCGTCAGGAACGGGTTGCCAACAGCTGGGCTTGCGCCGTTACTGCGGCTGGTTAGGGGATGTCCTCTCCCAACGGGCCATCAGTGAGAAAGAATGTGAGCAGGAACAGCATGTTTTGCACATGTTTGGCGGCTTTTTGACTGGCGGCTTTTCCGCGGGTCTTCCCATGACAGCTGTGGCAGGTGTCTGTGGGCTGTATCTAACGCAGGCTCGACGCACAGCCAGCTGAAAGTTTACTGGACTGAGACGGAACAGCACACGGTCATTCGGTGGGCGACCGGCCGTTCTACAATACCAAGACCGGTAGTAACAGAGACGCCACCGTAGGCCGCCCGCCAGGACTGGGATGTGTTGGGATTCGAAGGGAGCACGAGACGTGAACTTGAACAAAGTCTAGGCATGGCCGGGTCTGAACGATCCCGCGTCCAGCATCTCACCTCATCTCATCCTCCGTATTCCAGGTGAAACGCCACAGTTGTGAGGCTGGGGGCTCAACGGTCTCACGACAATTGCGTCGCCTTGCAGAAGACCACGCGGCGGGCCATCGGGCAACCAAGGCAGCAGGAAAGTGCCAAGGTTGGGATATTAAGTAAGTGTCGATCAAGGAGCAAAAAGAAAAATAGAGGCGACGCCGGCATACACCAGCAGTCTGCCACTGGGAAAGCCTCGCATACTTTTGTAGAAAGAGAATAGAGTCAGAGAGTCAAGGCGCCATACCCGCTTCACCTTTACCATGGCAAGCATTGAGACGAATGTAACAAACGAAATAGAAGGCGGCACCGGGGACGGTGAGGACGGTTTACCTTTTCGGGCTCTTTCAGTGAGTCTTTCTTAGCCTTATTGCAGGCAGATTCTGTGGCTTTTTTTTTGCTGTTGTTTTTGTTTTTCTTTTTTTTCCTTTTTTTTTGCGGACAGAAGATTCTGACAGGGCTTTTGTTCAGTGTGGCGGACCTGGTAAACAGACCTCTGGACAGACCATCTCACTCTGTGGCTAACAATGCGGATTTCTGGTGAGAACAGAGACCGCAGGCAGAGCCTCGTTGCTTCGTTCAGGATATTTCAAAGAGAGGTCAATAGTCATCTATCCAACCCATCCAAAGCATATCGTCACCCGTGCGGCCGGCTATCTCTGGAGGCAAAACCACCTCCTCCGTTGTCGTACTCCGTATTCCATACGTCTGTTACTCGGTATTGTGCCTGCGTGCCTAACTGGCCATTGCCTTGTGCATTGCTGCCGCCACGAAAAGAAGGCTGGGATGTTCTAGGAGTATGTTGGGAGCTAGGGACCAAAAGTAGTGGTCGATCGTTCTCTCATTCTAAACATCTGAACATCACGATACTTGAACCAACCGACAGAGCTAGCCGCATGGACAGACTGCTTATGTAGCGTAGTCAGCAACGGATGTTTGAATGCAAATCCCACGATCCATCTGGGCGCTTTTTCGCTCTCCTCTTTTCTCTCTACCCTCGTTCGCCCTCTCCCTTTCTCACATCATCGTCATTTTCGAGTCCTATTCTGCAATCCAGCCTTCAGACCAAGACTCCAGAGTGCAGCTCCCACCTTATTCGGAACACTCTGCCACAGTAGAGCATCTCAAAGTCACGAGACTTGCCCTGTTGTGAATGTGACATTTGTCTCTGCACAGCCGCACCCAGTCTCTGGGCATCGTCATTTTGCATACGACGTTGTGTGCGCAGTCGCGTACGCAGGACCACTTTCTTGGGAATTTCATGAATTCCATCCGTTGTGACCAGTCAGAGGTCAGCACCCACGAGCCCTTCGTGCCCTCAATGCGTCATAGCTTTGATCGCCACAGGCGATTTATTGCCAGGGTCGATGCGGGGAAGCACAGGGCGCTGTCGTTGCAATGGTGAGGGTGTGTGGTGTCTGACTACGACGCCCAGGGCCCTGTTTGTGTTCTTTTCTGACCATCCTTGCGAGCCTACCTCTTTGTTGCTCTTCTCCGGCCTAGAGTGCTGCTCTCTCGCTTCTGATTGGGACGGCTTTGTGTTTTCTGTTGGCGCTTCTGTCCGGAATGGTCACCTGGCCCTCCACCACGAAATGCTTGGCCTTTGACGTAGTGCAATGCAGGGTAGTTTTCTGGGAACATTGCCCTGCATCTTGATGAGATTCACCGTCTCGACCACTTTCGTCATGTCTTTTTCGTCGTCCCGTATTCACCCGCTGGGTTGGACGTGTTTCACATCGTCACGATGGGTCTTTGTGCCCATTCCATGAGTTTCCTCGCCTCCTTTGTTTGACAATGTCCTTGGTCTTGGTTGCATGGCCTGTCCACCCTCCTTTTCACAAAGTTGCTTCTCAGCGTCTGCATCTCACGATGCATGGTGTCTCATCACCTTTGCGGGCCTCTCGCAGGTTCCGCGGCGCCACCCACTTGTCCTGCATATACCCACGCTCCACGCTCCCCGTGCTAGTGGGGGTCTGTTGGAACTACTGAGACAGAAACCGCTGTTTCGACAACATCTTGCCAAACGAGCCAGTCCAGCTTCACGTTGGCTCACTTAGTTCATCTGGTTCAGGGTCCCCCTCCATTTCATTCGATGTCGGATGGGTGTCGCCTGCAGCCGCTGTGTAAAAGGAGTCAGATATGCATGTCTGTCGCCACCTGGACAGGGCAGCATTTATCGGAGCTCTCTGTTTGGTCTGTTCGCCTCGTTGTCCCATTTCCTGTGCTCATTTCCCTGACTGGCGGTTTTTGGCAATGCTCAAGGAAAACCCTGCTTTTTGTTGCATGCTCTCCAGCGGATCGTCTTACTCACTCGCTTTTCTATTCACCCGGGCAAAACAAGGGTCATTTTGCCTCTCGCAATGAGCACTGCATACCGAGCGTCTCTCCGGCTCCGTCTAGCGCAGCATCTTTGTGTGAGATTGACCCTCCGTTGCTCGTCTCTGATTACCTTGAGCTTGGTATTTGAGTATTGGTGTGCTCCCTGGAGCCTGGCTGCGCTGGCTCCTTCTCCGAAAACTCCAGTGTGTAAAATCCGGGGAAGCATTCGTCACCCCCGCTTTCTAGTGTCTTTTTCCTTTTTTTTTTTTTTTTTTTTTTTTTTTTTTTTTTCAACCCCGACAAGGCTTCCGCTCATGTAAGTGGCCGCCGTCGCGCATTCGCTACGCCATCCGTAATTACATTTTGTAATGTGATTTACCTACTGGTGACAGACCTCTTGTTGGCGCTTGAGAGCGCGTTCCTCGATCGAGCTCTGGGATTTACGAATATGATGTATCCTTGCCGTTTTCGTCCTTTTACTTTTGCTCGACCATGTTCGCCCCATTGTTCCTTCCCTCTTGACATTAAAATTGCTCCTGCCTCAGACGACGCAATAATCGCCACTCCAACCCGATTTGCCCACGTTCTTGAGGCAGGAGCCGTCGGAGTAAAAGAAGTGGGAGCCAAAACTGGCGCTTGTCAAACCTTGGTCAAGGCTATTATTTTACCTTTTGCTTTTTATGTCGGCCTTTATTGGCCTGGCCCTGTTATCCGTCAAGCCCTGTGGTCTTGGCTCACATCTATTCGCCAGTTTGCTGCGTAGCCCATTTCCATTGCCAATTTGATCTTGTCGTCAGTTTGGAAGGCAGTCGTCGCCCGCCCTTTCTGTGCGAGGCAAAGAATCCTGTCCCCCGTTCTTTCCCTTTTTGCTCGTTTCGTCTCTTTCAGTCCCATGCCCCTCAAATTCGCGACTGCCTTGTATTTAACTCTTTGTTCCCCCGTCTCGATGTTTTTCTTTTCGTCTCTCTCTTCTTTCTTCCTCCTTTCGTCCTCTCTTCATCACATAACATATTCGTCCAAGCTTTGTCACCAGCAACCACAACGAGAACGTCTCACACACAAGCAAAAAAGCTCACTCTCGGCGCATACGCTGTACATCACCTAAGAACCACCTACATCTCAACAAGTCACATAATATCTTTCTCTTGCTAAGCCCATTCGACTATCACAATGGGCGACTCCTACACCCCGACCACCACGAAGCCCGCTCCCAACATGAGCGCCTACGCTGTCCACTGCCACCTGTGCGGTGGTGTGTTTGTCATCAGCAACACCTGCACCAGCTGCGCCCATGTTCAGTGCCAAAAGTGCCTGTAATTGCACTTACACGCGCCGCCTGTAGGGGGAGCCTATGGTCTTCCGGAACCGCCCGGAAGTGGAATGCGCCGTGCCTGCACGCTCGCGTCCTTACCCACGCCCCCCACGTGCACAAAACACACCAAGACGGGCGTTCCATTTTTTCTGTCATCTGCTTTTGTCAACATTTTACGCCCTGCTTTTCGCGTGTCGTTTTCGTTTTATTCGCCTGCCGTCTGACTCTGACGTCCGGGCGAATCGCATGATTTGCTACGGAATTCGTTATTACGGCGGCTTTACGGATTTTGTCTTCGGATTATTCGCGCTCATTTCTATCCTTGTAAGGCGTTGGACGACAAGACAACGGCGGCGATCTGAACGGACACTGCTTCTTTCAGCAGCTGGACAAAAATTACGGCAGCAAAAACAGGTGCTGGACAACGGCAAACAACAACAGAACGATATACGACAACAAGAACGTGACGGCAACGTCTCTTTCGGTTTCTTTTTCTTTTCTTTCCCATTGGGTGTTCATCACAATCGGAACGGTCGGCGAAATTGTTGCTTTGGCTGCCCTGCTTCTCCGTGGGAAAATAAGACTGGCTCAACAACAGGTCGGCGGTGATATCGGATTGTGTTTTCTCGTCTCTTTTTTCTTGTTCTCTTTCTTTCTGTGTTTTCTTTTCGTTGCCTATTCCCATATCAGCGCAGTCTCTTTTCGTATACCCCATTCCCTCTTTCGTCTCCCACGATTGTTTGTTCTTGTATCACGCAGCGAAGCAGTCTGTACGGCTATTTCTGTATATCTCCACTCGGATCTTTTTTTCATCACCAGACAGAAAATTGATCAAATTCCGTTATAATTTTACCCATCGCGCTCTCCGTGACACCGTACGTATCCAGTTTGACTCCGTTTCTCGTGGGAAAACAGACTCAACAGGCGCGCTACCAGTCTCCTGATGCCTGGTCATGCCACCTCCAGAATTTAATAGTACGAGCCTCCCTGAGATATCCTGCTCGTCTTGCCGTATGTTTCTGGAAAATGGCCAGTTGCCCACGCCGTCTCATTTTTTTTTTAAAAAAAAAAATCGGTCTCACAGCCCAATGTACGCCAGCTGTTAGGACATGAAGATGATCTTCTTAAGTCAGTAGGGATTTGTAGCTTGAATTTTTGGTTGAAGTAAATTTACTTTTTGGTTCCTTAAATAAAACCTCTTTATATATATATAAATATAATATTAATAAAATTGATCAGTACAATAAATGCAAACGATATGCGTACACACATATATACATAGAAAAGGAAAACAGGAAAACAGGACAACAGAAAACCTGGTGATCTTAGAACGAAAGTGAAAGGAACAAACAGCTGCTGCGACATTAAGCTGGCAAGCATAGACTAGAGCCATTTTCTGTTTCATTTGCGAACATGTTTTGTGATACGCTGTCGAGCCTCATAACCCGAGACTCCTTAAAGAACAAGAATAACAGTAGATGTTCACAATGTAGCTCCTAGACATTAAACAGATGAAATTGGACAATAGTCAAACAGTCGTGCGGTTTGTTAAATTGCGTTGGTGTTTCGTCGTTCTAGTCGTTGCGACGTGACGCACGTGACTTTACGCGAAGACTGGGCTCTTTTTCAAAACAGGCTAGCGCATTTCTGCCCGTACAGCCAAAAAATTGTCACGGCTCCAAAAGCTTCAATTCTAGGTCGACCGACGTCAAGCTGGATGTGACATCCATTGCCGCATCACGACCACACACCATGCCTCCGAGATTACCAACATCCCTTGCAGCGGCATTGAGCCGTTGCAGTAACCTCTTTGTGGCACCGATCACGCAGCGATTTGCCGTCGCGTCGCTCCACAGCAGTGCCCGTTTGGATGCTCGTATGTTGTCTCCTGGCGACTGTTCCCTTGCGACAGGTGTCATGCTAACCTGTGACTTTCCTCTAGCCCGGACGCCGCCATCGAGCGGTGCTTCCTTCCTGGACCTCGACAACAACGACGAGTACGGCCGCCCCCGCCCGACCGCCGACGGCGAACAGGGCCCCGGCCGAGGACCGGCCACATTTGCGCCCCGCTACGGCCCCAGGAGCGACGCCAACGCGGCCCTGAGCCGCGTGCTTTTCGACAGCGAGACCCGCCGCCGCATGCACGAGCGCCGCGAGGAGCAGAAGCGCACGGCGCTAGAGAAGATGGCCGAGCGCAAGACCACAGAAGACTACGCGCGCCACTTGACGCGGCGCTGGCGTGTGGGCGACCTGTATACGGCGCACGACCTCGGCGTCGAAGAGATGCACCAGTGGGGCGAGTCGTACCTGAGCCAGCGCGACGTGATTGAGATCCTGGGCATCAACCCGATCGACGAGTACCGCAACTTTAGCATGATTTCCGACTTCGTGACGTCCACGGGCCGCATTCGCGGCAGCAGGGAAACGGCGCTGCGGCCGGTGAACCAGCGGCGCATGGCCAAGGCGGTGCGGCGGGCGATTGGCATGGGCATCCACCCGAGTGTGCACAAGCACCCGGAGATCCTGGCGCCGGCCATTGCAGCAATGCCGAGGCCGACGTACGTGCAGGTCACCGGCAGCAATCGGAAGCGGTAGGGTGGGGCTGGGTGGGTGGGGGGTCGTTTTTGTTGGTAGCAGGAACGTGAGCGCCCTGGTGTATATTGTATAGATAGGTATAAGAGATTCAAAAAATAAATAAAAGAAGAACCAAAAAACCAAGATATATGACTTTACATTTTGTAATTATTCTTAGCATGTTCCCCGGTTTTATTTTTGTTCTATGTACAGTTGTCTCTCTCCCTATAGTTTCGGTTCATGCCTTCAACTCTCGCGTAATTTTGTACCGACGCAGGCCATCGATGTTCGCCGTACAGCCGCGCTTCTTCACCTGCTCCCAGATGTCCGGGTATTCGGCTGCCGCCCAGTCGGCGAACGACGCCTGCAGATCCTGGCCAGGGAGAGCGTTGCAAGCAAGGCCGAGTCTGTGGCTGTTAGACGACGTTCATACAATGTACACGTAGCATCGCAATAGGGAGGGTTGGTAACTCACGTCGTTAGTGTCGGCCCGTATCCGACGCTCTTCTCCATGTTTGAAATCAGCTTTTGGACTTCGTCAATGTGGCCTTGGCCAGCAATGGAGCTGCTGTACGCATCAAAAACATCTGGTGGCACGTCCACCTCCATGCGCTGCATCTTGGCCCACACGGACCGTGCAGTCGCGTCGCCAAACGGGAGGCCCTCACAGACATAAAATAGAATCGCCAGCGTGGCATACGAGGGGCCTTCCACGGAGCCGTCAATCTCGTGCCAGAAGTCCAGCGCCCGCGACCGGTCACCGCTGGCTGCGTACGCCAGCATCAGAGCATTGTACAGTCGCGTGTCCATTTGCACGCGCGTGTCTATTTTGAGCATGTTGTGCACCATCTTCAGGCCCGTTTCGTCGGGCCAGCGGCCCAGACCCTCGAGACAACGCACGTACAGGTCGGCCGTGGGCCGCACTGCCGGGTCGTTGGCACCGCGCATGTGGCCAAACACGTAGCAGGCCATGTCTGGGCGGTGGCGGCGGAAGAAGCCGTCCATGACGCGCACACGGCTGGCCGGCGGCGTCTCGGCAAAGTATTGCCGCAGCAGTGAGTAGGCGTCCCAGGCACGGGCGGTGCTGCTCCGATTGCGGTCGACAATGTACTCCACAAAGGCATCGCGCACAATGGCGCGCTCCTCCACCGAGTACTGCATGGCGTGCATGGAGAGAACGTCAATGACCTCGAACTGCTGGTCGCAGCCAAAGAATGTCATGCACAGAGACACCACGGTGGCGGGCTCGAGTGCGACTTGGCGGTGCTCGGCAATGTCCAAAACGTCACGGATGCGCTGCGTGATCTTGACGTTCTTGATGTTGCCGGTGGTGGCTGCAGACGCGGATGCCGAGGAGCACAGTGCGCGAATGTACTTGTTGATGACGGGCGCGTCCTCCTCGTCGGGGCAATCAATGCTCTGGAGATGCATAAACGATGCATAGGCGCCGCTGAGGTCGTTGGCGTTGACGCGATAGTCGAGCTGCAGGATGAATGTCTGCGCGTCGGGTGCAATGTCGAGGCCGTTGGCACTCTCGGGTGCCGCGCCGAGCTGCACAAACCGTTCGGCCAGCAGCACATCCCCCTTGGCTGCGGCCACCCGAATCAGACCGTTGACTGTGGCCGCGTCGGGCGACATGTTGGGCCGGTTGGCGTTGTGCTTCACCATGGTGGAAATCATGTGGCGGATCTCGTCTACGCCCTTGTCGAGCGAGACCACGGCCCACTGAAAGATGACGTCCCAGACGTCCTTGGCCGGATTGGCGTCACACAGGTCTTGGAATGTTGCCTGGATCCACATCTGCTTCTCGGCGAGGTTGTTGCCGTCGCTGCGCTGCGAAAAGGCAAGCAGTTCGGCGTATGTCTGTGCCGTCGCGTGTCGCCGGGCAGCAATGGGCTTCTCAAACCACTCCCGTGTCTTGGCGTAGTTATTTTGCCGTGCGTAAAAGGTAGTCATGATCTCGTGGAAGAGGGGCATATACTCGAGGCCGGCCTCCTCGGCGGCCTTGGCCTCGGCCAGCAGCGCATCTTCGCGACCTTCTTTTGCCAGGCCTTGCAGCACCAGCACCCACAGCTCCTTGTCTCGCCGTGAGCGCTTGCCATTCTCGGCTTGACGTGATTGCTCAGCCGCCGGTTTATCGACGGTCCTTGCTGTGAGAGGGGACAATGGCTGTGGCGATAACCAGTACTTGGTCAGGAGCTCTGCTGCCTCCACAGAGGCACCGTACTGGCACAAAATAAATATGTGGCGCTTGAAGTCGAGCGGCGTGTAGGCACCACGTCTCCGCAGTTCCGCGTATATCTCGCGGCACATCTCAAGGTGGTCGTGCGCTGCGGCGGTGTTTGCGGCACTGCTCGGCGGTTTGGCGAGAGCTTCGCGGGCGTTCCGCAGATCTTGGAGATCGAGGTCGTGTGCGCAGCCATCTCTTTCGTAGAGCTGCTCCTGTTGCTGTTCAAGGTCCTGACCCTCGTGTCGCAGGTATTGGTAGAGCCGCCGGAACCACTGTGCTTGGGTGGCATTCACCCGCTTGCCATACTGATACTTGTAGGCGAAAAAGTCGCGGAAGGCCTGGACCAGGTCGTCGTGCGGCGGCCGGCGGGTGTCTTCAGCAACACTCGCGCGGAATTGCAGGAGCACATCGTAGCCTGGCTCAACATACTGCTCTTTGAGCTCGCGAGGGGCTTGCGAGCGGAGAACGCCTAGGAAGCTTCGCCGAGAGGTTGTTGAGAAGGATCTTGCTGCAGCTTTGGATCCCGCTTCTACCGTTGTGAAGCGTCTCGTATATCGTTGTGGACGGGGAGCAGGCCGTGCGCAGCTGGGGGACGCAACAGGATTCGTGGTAGGGGGTGTGCTTCGTGAGGTCGAGAGGGAGCACGTCGAGGTTGACGTCACAGAGGGGACGGCAGGGCGGGCATCGGCGCGGCCATGCACGAGGCAGCGCCTGTACGCATTGCGTGCCGCCAAATGCGACCGCATGGCTGCTACCGCGAGGCTATATGGGACACCGACACAAGCTGCGTTGCGGGAGTACAAAAGAAAGAAAGCTATGAGGGCGGACTGCGGGGGAGGAAGAGTTAACTACAGCGCACGGGTGCGGTGGGAGGTGGACAGGGCACCGTTCTGGAGCAGAAACTTACCTCTGCATGACTGCTGGCATCAATTGGCCGTGGTGGTCGTGGACAGAGCCGTCAAGAAGGGGTGAGAGTGCGCCGGGTCGTTGGTCGTTGGTGGTGGATCTACGAGATGTCGTTCCAAAATGGGGACTTCTTTTTTGGCCGGATTTTTCTGGCGCGCCAAACTCCGCCGGCCAGTTGCACCTGCCCTGGCGCCCAGCCAGTTACAATGGCCCCAATTGCCCATTTTTGTGCAACACTCTAAAATGGGCCCCAGTATCTACACTGTAAAATCCACTGGCAGCTTACTTACTTGCAATCAAAACACAGCAAATGTATCATACATATAGTATTTTGGCACTAAAGACACTGCTTTTCTAACGTCGCCGTTTTGTTTTCTGCGCATCCCAACGCGATGCAGCGCCTTGACAGAACCGTTTTCAAACCACAAGAGCACGTGATAGCATCTGCTAGGGACAGACAACCACGGCAAGAACCTACCCAAGTCGCCGCTTCCTTGCTTAGATACCACCGGCGCTGTGTCTACACGGAAACGTGAAAAAGCAAATACCGGAGCAGGTGACCACGTCGTCTCAATGCAACCTTTTTGATGACCTGGATCCCCAAACATGAATGAGGCAGAACGACACGGAGGAGAAAAACTAAACTATTGAAAAAGCATCCTAACGAAATCAAGCCCGGACGGCAGCACCCAGTGCGCCGCCTGTGAACTGCGTGCCGCCCGCCTGCCGTTGCGTGTTGCCGCCGGCACGAGCGCCTCCGCGGCCGCCCCGTGCGCCGCCGCCACCACGGCCACCGCCCCGGCCGCGGCCGCCTTGTCTGTCGAAGGCGTTGGCCGAGCCCTGTGTCCGCTGCTCCAGTGTCCGCTCGTTTGACTCCGTCAGCGCGCTGGCCTTGTCGGACAGCGTCAGGGCCAGGCTCTGCAGACGCGACAGCTCGACGCCCTTGCGGAAGATGACCGTCTGGTTGACCTGGTCCAAGGCGGCCGCCAGCTCCTCGTGGCTGATCATCTTGCTGATGATGGCCGAGATCTTGTGCGTCTCCAGCTCAAACATGTTGCTGAGCGTCTCCAGGGCCAGCGTGTCGTAGAAGGGCGCGTACGTGAACAGGAACGTGCGCACGCCCTCCTCCTGGATCTGCTTGGCCAGCATGGCCTTGATGCTGTCGGCCTGCGGCATCAGCTCCCAGATCTTGATGCTGTGGATGAACTCAATCGCCTTCTTCCACTCTCCCGCCGCCAGCGTCTTCGAGGCCTGCATCACGTGGTCGCGTGTGTTCTCCGGCGGGCCCGTGAAGATCTGGCGCTCGTGGTACTCGAGCATGCGGCGGTACGTCTTGCTGATCACCCGCTTCTTGATGTCCGGCGACGAGCCGGTCTGCGCCAGCAGCGGGATCTCCAGCAGCATGCTGCACGTCAGGTACACGCACTCGAGCAGCTCGAGGTTGATGTGCATGTGGAACGGCAGCTGGCGCTGCTTCTCAATGCGCTCCTGCTCGGGCGAGACCTGGCTGTAGCGCTGGATCATGACGCCCTGCGCCAGGAGCTCCTTCTGCCGGCCACTGCCGCAGATCTCCTGCAGCGTGTTCTGCGCATCGTACACAAGACCCTTGCGGAATGCGCAGAGGCCCACCTGCACCAGCGTCCGGTTGTACAGGATCTGCGACTGCACATCGAAGCTGTTGATCGTCTCCTGCAGATGCGACATGAGCATCATGTCACGCGCGCGGTAGTAGTCGTCGTGCAGCGCCAGGAAGTAGATTTGGCACAGCATGGCACGGGCGCGGATGATCCCCTCGCTGTTGGCAAACAGGTAGCCGCACAGCAGGTTCAGCAGACCGGAAGGCTCACTCGACTCGGCGCGCGGCGTAATCGTCGAGTCGATGCCGCTGGTGGCCTCCTTCCAGCTGTTCTCATCCAGGATCTTGACCACCTGCGCCGGCTTGAAGTAGATGTGCTCGAGTCTCCGCATGACAATGCGGTTCAGGCTCTCTTGGGGGATCTCCAGGGACGAGTCCTTGCGGAGCGTCTCGTAGTAAAGTTGGCCCAGGACAATGGTGTTGTACAGGGCACCCTCGTCCTGGAGGCGGTCGATGTACTCGGACGTGTGGGGGTCAATGTTCTGGAGAGAGCGAACCAACTCGTCGTCCAGACGCTCAACGTACGAGACGATGCTGCCTGGGATCTTGACGTACTTCTGGCCGGCCTCCAGGGTGGGCGGCTTGTCGTCGTCGTCCCACTCCTCGGCGTTCTCGATGACAATGTACTCCTTGTTCTTCTCGAGGATCTTGAAGAGCTGGCCCAGCTCCTTCTCGGCGGCCTTCCAGTGTTCGAGCGGCATGAAGGTGGCAGCGCCCGAGCCCAGGTCGAAGCGTGCCGAGACGAGCGTCAGCAGGACACGGATCTGCTGGTACGGCGTCACGGCAATCTCGTTGAGCTTCTCCATAATCTTGATCTGCTCTGGTCGGTCGGTGTTCTTCTTACCACGGGACTCCATGATCGTCCGCAGCTGCTTGAAGATGCCATCGGGCGTGAACTGAACAACACGGCCACCCTTGCCAACAACCGTCGAGAAGCCCTGGTCGTCACCCTCCTCAACGGTGGTGTCAAACGTAACGGCAGCGGGCGCCCTTCTTGGTGCCGGGGCCTCCTCCTCGTCAGACTCCATGAACTCATCCTTGTCGGCACGGTACTCGTCGATCTGGCTCTGGTACTCCTTGACGACCTTGCGTATGCGCTGCTTGACGGCGTTCAGGCCACGTGCGCTGGTCGCGTTCATCTTCTTCAGGGAGACCTTCTGCATGGAGATCGACTCGTTCAAAAAGTCCTCGAGGTCGGCAACGGCCTTGATGTAGAGCTTGGGGGCCTTGGAACCCTGGCGCAGCTTCTCGGCCTGGCGGTTCAGCTTATCGAACTCTGCGAAGTGCACACGCGTTAGTGATGAGTCAAACCGCGTCAAGGCGGTCGGTCTATGGCCAAAACGGCGGGGGACAAGACGAACCAGTCGAGATCGAGCCCCAGTCGTTGATCTTCTCGCCGTTTTCAATCGCCGTGATTGTGGCATCGAGCTCGTCGAACCGCTTGTCTTTCGCGCTCTTCACCTTGGCAGAGGGCTCCTCCTCGTCGGAGCTGGCACCTGAATCTGCGTCGAGCAAGAACGCGTTCGCTCCCCGCGGCCTGTCGCCGTCCGAGTCGGTATCCGAGTCATCATCGTCATCGTCGTCGTCGTCGTCATCATCGTCGTCCTCGTCGTCGTCATCATCGTCGAGGTCGTCGAGCTCCTCCTCCTCATCGGAGTAGAGTTCCTCCTCGTCGGAGCTGCTCTCACTGGAGCTGTCGTTTCCGGAGCGGAAAAAGCGCGTGGCAGACATATTGATGGTCGTATGTCGCTTATGATGCCGTGGGTGGGCTGATGGTTGCAGAGTCCCAGGGTCTGTCTGCCAGAGGTGTGAAAAAGGGCTCCTGGCGAGGATTGTTTTGCTGGCTAGCCGCACAATGTGGGCAATGGCAAATGGAGGGGAAACGAACACGGAAAAAAATACTTGACCAGACAGAAAAATTTACTGAATTTAGTGGGGTTTGCTGGGGCTAGAGGAGGACGGACCGGCATAGCACGTGCCAGCTGGCAGAATCTAGGAAGTTTGCGCGTATCCAGTATGAACGTAACCAGACGACGAACCATGGCACGTGAAATTACCTAATATCAATGCCTCCCCCAATCAGGCAACTTACCAGGCAAAAAAATCTTGCCGCTCGGAGGAGGCCCTGCATCATACCGTGTCGCGACTTTCTCAGTGTTTGCAAGGGCAAACAGTGCCTCAATACATCACCGCCGAGCTCTCAACGACCTCGCACCAAACGCATAAGCATCCTGCATCATCCAGGGTGATCAGACATTTCTATAGGCATTCTTCCGAAGAATAGTCCGGACTGCACCGCCAAACAGAAGCTCGACACGGCGGACGCGAGGCGCAACGCTCGCTAGCCATTGCAGCTCAGGTGCTGCCTACAGCATTTCCGTTTCTATTCTCATGATTCATATCACATCGCCACCCGACATCGATCACCTGTGCTGCATCGCATAACTGTGTCATCATACCACGCGTGCCTCCTTTTTCTGGAGCAGGCGCCCACGCACGACCGTTCCTTCCGTCTCAGTCGCGATGTCGTCTCTTCCTCCCCCGCCGCCGGGATGGGCCCCTCCACCGCCGCCGCCACCGCCTCCCGACCCTTCCATGCTCCCTGCACCTCCTGCGGTTCCTCCTCCGCCGCCTCCCCCATCCTCGGGCTATAAGCCACTCAGTGAACTCGAGCTAGCGAAGCTCGAGCAGAAGAAGAACGAATGGCTCCGCACACGACGCAACCGTTTCGGCGAGAAACGGAGGGGTGGCTTTGTTGAGACACAAAAGGCCGACATGCCACCGGAGCATCTGCGCAAGATTGTCAAGGACATTGGCGATGTCTCGCAGAAGAAGTACACGAGCGACAAGCGCAGCTATCTCGGCGCGCTCAAGTTCATGCCGCATGCCGTTCTCAAGCTGCTCGAGAACATGCCCATGCCCTGGGAGTCGGCGCGCGAAGTCAAGGTTCTGTACCATGTCAACGGCTGCCTGACTCTGGTCAACGAGATCCCGCGCGTCATTGAGCCCGTTTTCCACGCGCAGTGGGCGGCCATGTGGGCGGCCATGCGGCACGAGAAGCGCAACCGGCGTCTGTTCAAGCGCATGCGATTCCCGCCCTTTGACGATGAGGAGCCGCCCCTGTCCTGGTCGGAAAACATTGAGGATGTCGAGCCGCTCGAGCCGATCCAGCTGGAGCTGCACGAGGAGGAGGACGAGGCTGTCTACGAGTGGTTCTACGACAGCCGGCCCTTGGTGGACACGTCGCATGTCAACGGCCCCAGCTACAAGTCATGGAACCTCAACCTGCGGCAGATGGCCGCTCTGTACCGTCTTAGCCGTCCTCTGCTCAGCGAGCGGCAGGACTCCAACTACTTTTACCTGTTCGAGCCGCAGAGCTTCTTCACCTCCAAGGCTCTGAACGTCGCTCTTCCTGGCAGCGCTCGTTTCGAGCCGCTGTACAAGGACATCGACCCGAACGACGAAGACTTTGGCGAGTTCAACGCTATTGACCGCATCATTTTCCGCAACGCGATCCGGACCGAGTCGCGGGTCGCCTACCCCCATTTGTACAACTCGTTCCCGCGTAGCGTGCGGAACACGTGGTACTCGTACCCGCAGACCGTGTACACGCTGACGAAGAACTCGGACCTGCCTACATTCCACGTCGTGTCCAACATCAACCCCGTCTCGTCGCGCTCCGACACCAAGTTTACGACCACGAGCCACGAGGACGAGATCTTTGGCTACGGCAGCAACGAGGAGCCAGAGGAAAGCCTCTTCGAGCTGCCGGCCGACCTGGAGCCCTTCATGGCCGACGACGACCTGACCACGGACGACACCTTTGATGCCATTGATCTGTGGTGGGCGCCGTACCCCTTCAACCGCCGCTCTGGCAAGATGGTGCGCGCACAGGACGTCCCGCTGGTCAAGTGGATGTACCTGGAGCATCCGGCCCGTCATATGCCCATGAAAGTGGGCGTTTCGTACCAGAAGCTGCTCAAGACCTACGTTCTCAACGAGCTGCACAAGAAGAAACCCAAGACGCTCCAGCGGCAGGACCTGCTGCGGACACTGAAGCAGACCAAGTTCTTCCAGCAGACGACCATCGACTGGGTCGAGGCCGGTCTGCAGGTGTGTCGGCAGGGCTTCAACATGCTGAACCTGCTCATCCACCGCAAGAACCTGACGTACCTGCACCTGGACTACAACTTCAACCTGAAGCCTGTCAAGACGCTCACCACCAAGGAGCGCAAGAAGTCTCGCTTTGGTAACGCATTCCACCTGATGCGCGAAATACTGCGCCTCACCAAGCTCATTGTCGACGCCCAGGTTCAGTACCGCCTTGGCAACATCGACGCCTTCCAGTTGGCGGATGGCATTCTGTACGCATTCAACCACGTCGGCCAGCTGACGGGCATGTACCGGTACAAGTACAAGTTGATGCACCAGATCCGGTCCTGCAAAGATCTCAAGCACCTGATCTACTACAAGTTCAACGCCGGCGGCATCGGCAAGGGCCCCGGCTGCGGCGTGTGGGCACCGGCTTGGCGTGTCTGGCTTTTCTTCATGCGCGGCATCATCCCGCTGCTAGAACGCTGGCTGGGCAACCTGCTCTCGCGTCAGTTTGAGGGCCGTCACAGCAAGGGTGTTGCGAAGACGGTAACAAAGCAGCGTGTCGAATCGCACTTTGACCTGGAGCTGCGTGCGTCCGTCATGGCGGATTTGATGGACATGATGCCCGAGGGCATCCGGCAGAGCAAGGTGAACACCGTCCTGCAGCATCTCTCGGAGGCCTGGCGGTGCTGGAAGAGCAACATTCCCTGGAAGGTGCCCGGTCTGCCGGCGCCCATTGAGAACGTCATTCTGCGCTATGTCAAGGCCAAGGCCGACTGGTGGATCTCGGTGGCGCATTACAACCGTGAGCGCATCCGCCGCGGTGCCACCGTCGACAAGACTGTCGCCAAGAAGAATGTTGGCCGCCTCACACGGCTCTGGCTCAAGGCCGAGCAGGAGCGCCAGCACAACCACATGAAGGACGGCCCGTACGTGTCGTCGGAAGAGGCGGTGGCCATCTACACCACGACGGTGCACTGGCTGGAGTCGAGAAAGTTCTCGCCCATCCCATTCCCCAGCGTGTCGTACAAGCACGACACCAAAATCCTGATCCTGGCCCTCGAGCGCCTGCGGGAGTCGTACTCGACCAAGGGCCGCCTGAACCAGAGTCAACGCGAAGAACTCGCCCTCATTGAGCAGGCGTACGACAACCCCGGCACCACGCTGGAACGGATCAAGCGCTTCCTGTTGACGCAGCGTGCGTTCAAGGAGGTGGGCATCGACATGAACGACAACTACAGCACAATCAACCCGGTCTACGACATTGAGCCCATCGAGAAGATCAGCGACGCCTATCTTGACCAGTACCTCTGGTACCAGGCGGACCAGCGCCACCTCTTCCCTGCCTGGATCAAGCCGTCCGACTCTGAGGTGCCGCCGCTGCTGGTGTACAAGTGGACGCAGGGCATCAACAACCTGCAGAATGTGTGGGAGACGGCAGACGGCGAGTGCGACGTCCTGATTGAGACGCAGCTGTCCAAGGTCTACGAAAAGATTGAGCTCACGCTTCTCAATTCGCTGCTGCGTCTGATCATGGACCACAATTTGGCCGACTACATCACGGCCAAGAACAACGTGACGCTTGCCTACAAGGACATGAGCCACGTCAACAGCTACGGCATGATCCGCGGCCTGCAGTTTGCGGCCTTTGTCTTCCAGTACTATGGCCTCATTCTCGATCTGCTTCTCCTCGGACCGCAGCGTGCCAGTGAGATTGCAGGCCCGCCCCATGCGCCCAACGACTTTTTGCAGTTCCAGGACCGGGAGACGGAGACCAAGCACCCCATCCGCCTGTACACGCGTTACATTGACAAGATCTGGGTGTTCCTGCGGTTTTCGGCCGACGAGTCCCGCGACCTCATCCAGCGCTTCCTCACCGAGCAGCCCGATCCCAACTTTGAAAACGTCATTGGCTACAAGACGAAGCGGTGCTGGCCTCGTGATTCGCGCATGCGCCTGATGCGCCACGACGTCAATCTGGGCCGCGCCGTGTTCTGGGATCTCAAGAACCGTCTGCCCCGGTCGGTGACCACGATCGAGTGGGAGGACACGTTCGCCAGCGTGTACAGCCGCGACAACCCGAACTTGCTGTTCTCCATGGCCGGGTTTGAGGTGCGCGTGCTGCCCAAGATCCGCAACCAGAACGACGAGTTCCCGGTCAAGGACAGCGTCTGGTCGCTGGTGGACAACACGACGAAGGAGCGGACAGCCCATGCCTTTTTGCAGGTGACGGAGGAGGACGTGGCCAAGTTCAACAACCGCATCCGCCAGATCCTCATGTCGTCCGGCTCGACGACGTTCACCAAGATTGCCAACAAGTGGAACACGGCGCTGATTGCCCTCTTCACCTACTACCGCGAGGCCGCTGTGTCGACCGTGAGTCTTCTCGACGCCATTGTCAAGTGCGAGACCAAGATTCAGACCCGTGTCAAGATTGGCCTCAACTCCAAGATGCCGTCGCGTTTCCCGCCCGCTGTGTTCTACACGCCCAAGGAACTTGGCGGTCTTGGTATGATTTCGGGCTCGCACATTCTGATCCCGACAAGCGACAAGCGGTGGTCCAAGCAGACGGACGTCGGTGTCACCCACTACCGCGCCGGCATGACGCACGACGAAGAGACGCTGATCCCCAACAT